TATAAGAGCTCAAATGGAGAGGGAAAAAAAAACCCGTCATATATCCACTCGTCATGCTCCAACTGATTCTTAGTGGTGAAATTCTTTTGGTGCTACAAAGTAAGTTGGGTTTTTTCTCCAAAGTACTGACTTTCAAGTGTTTTTCACCAAAATGCGATGTTATCAAGGTCTTACATGCGACAAGCCAAAATTTTTAAAGCAGAATATAGCCTATCCTTCTTTACTGAGCACAAACTTCCCAGGTTCTGCGAGATGGGCAGGGGAGAGAGAAGAATATCCGTTAGTCAGTAGGCAAAGCGGCCGAATTTTCGACACGGGTTTCCACGAAATCGGAGAGAAGGCGAGGCTGCGGGAGTGGAAGGGGTGTCTGCGTGTAGAAGGGGTCAGTGGGTTCGGAAAAGGAGCGGACTTGAAGAGCCACTTGGAGGCCACTAGAAGACCGGAGGTTGAGGAGGACAAGGAGGAGAGCTTGCGGAGAGGCCGATGAAGAAGACGACGCATGTCTCCGGGAACTTGGTTGAGAAGATAATGTGGGTTCCGAGTGTTGTTTGTGGTGCTTCAACTCGGCTGGGTTTCCCGGCGGAAAGAAAAGGAGGGAAGAGGTTAAGGTTTTAGCGACAGGTCGCAGAGACGGGGGTTTAAAAAAACATTTTGCACGTGGGGTGATTTTGAAAATCGAACACGATGTTTTAATTTCTTCACAATAGTCGATTTTGTAATTGTATTAATTTACACTTTGTGTTTAACTAAAAATTATTTAAATTTTCAATAAATTAATAATATAGTGAATATGAAACTCGTAACTGGATTAATATATAAGTTACATTGACCATACATTTCAAATCATGATGCATGGCCAAAGATTTCTGAATCATGTAGACAGAGCATGCATTCTTCTTCAATTGTGAAGGTTAGAGATTTCTTATTGTACATTCACCGTGATTAGGTAGCTTAATCCAACAAGGTTCAATGACTATGTTGCCCTATTACAACTATTGAGTTCTTATTGACATAAGTATATATCTAGCATACGTACATAAGATCTCAAGGCAACCTTGTTTAGTGAACTTAATTTTATTAAACACCTATACACTTGTGTTATCGACTCTCCCTAATGGCTTGAGACTAGCCATACTTCCCGTCCTACAATTGTGCAAACGTAGTGCGTACCAATCTTAACGAATTATAAGATGTTCATTCAAATAACCGAACGACCAAGAACAATATTTAGGATAAACACATAAAAAGAGGATCTCTTTGGTGGTCTTGCCCAACGATTAGATTATGGATTAATCCTTGTATTACCTTAAGCAAACCAATAATCTAATTGCTTTTAGGGCATACATCTAACAAAGTAAATAAATTATTTCATATTGCGATGAAGTAAATAATTAAGTAATTAATGATTAAGTAAATAATTTGTCCGGAGAAAAATTTACTCATCACAATTTGATGGACAAGGAGGCGTGTTGCAAAAATCACTTTTCAACCAAGAACAAACTTTGGTGTAGCCAAGTTAGCTATAACAGTATACTCCTCTCTTTGTACCCAAGTTTGAATCTCATTTCTCAGTCGTTTACAGTATATGAATATCACTCAAATAATTAAAAACCAGAATCAAGAAAGGGGCAAATGGAAGAAGCATGCATGTTCATAAACTGAAATAATTGTTGGAACTTCGGAATAAAAAGGCATACTTGGTTTAATTACAGAAATCAGGGTCCTAACAGATATCATGGTTTAAGCACAAAGTTAATCAGAAAGCTATCTGAGAAATGTAGCTCTCATACATATGGTGAAAACTAGTATATCTCGTCATCAGGGACGTCTGGTGTCAAAAATTTTCTTGGATCTTTACTAATTTCCTCGTAACTCATTCTCGGCTTCACCTTGTCTGGGACAGGAACCAGAGGAATAATGCTATCTCCGTCGATAACTCCATCGACTATTCCATATTCAACTGCTTCTATGGGGGACATATATCGATCCCTGTCAATATCCTTTTGGACTTGCTCAAATGAACGGCCTGTGGAATTTGAAAGAATTTGTGTGACATTGTTTTTGTTATGCATCACTTCTTGGGCTTGAATTTCCACATCTATTGCCTGGCCACTAGCACCTCCAAGAGGTTGATGAATCATGATCCGTGTATTAGGCATCGCAAAACGCTTGCCTTTGGTGCCACCGCCAAGGATTATGGAAGCTGTTGATGCTGCAATGCCAAGTGCAACTGTGGAGACATCAGCCCTCACAAGCTGAACGACGTCATAGATAGCCATTGTAGCACTAACACAAATAACAAGAAGGCAAATCAGCAAGCACATAAGAAGACAGTAAAACCATGAAAACATATACAGAAGAATAAAGTTCAATATAAAATTAACTAATTCATTGAGTTCTTCAAATAGCATCAAATGTCTGTTTACATCCACCAAATTCAGTGTCTGTGAGCTACTAGCAGTCTAAGCTGTTCATTTGTGCCTTTACTCGTTAAGTACAGGAATTGTAAAGTCATACTAAATGCAAACAGCACCATCGAGGCATAACTATCATCCCGACTTTGACAACACAAATGTGAATGGTACAGTGATCTTGTTTTAGCTAATGCCCCATAACAAATAACAAAGAACCAACTACGGCCAGCTAAAATCAGAATTCTATAACTAATATGCTTAATCTCATAACCCAACAGATTCAACAGTCCCTTCAATCCGCATCAGTTCATAACTAAAGACAAGTGGTATGTCACTAAACTCTAGAAACCAATGCCCAAATGGTGGGCATCCCAAAAGCACACTCAAATCCACAAGAAGCACAATAGTATTCAATAAATGGATAAATACAGGATGCCAAAGCACACAACTCAACCTTGCCTCACTAGAAAGCTATGCCAAATATCAATGCAAGTAGACAGTGGAGGAGTAAAAGTTCAATACACTCAGCCTCAGCCGCATCCTTGCACATGATTCACCAAGAAATTGATTTACCAACATTAGACTTCCTCCCTTGACATACCATCATAAGTATTAACACTCCATGAAAAACTGTCAAAACACTGTTGACAGCCCCACACTCAACTGATTTTCGGATTATGTTATGTCCACCACTCGCATGGATACTAGACTTGGGTCTCAAAGATCCATGAATGAAAGACACTGACAAATCAAAGCCTAAGCCATGCATTTAGCATATAACTAGACTGTTGCTTGATTATTGGGAGACAATAACTAGCATTAATGCGGAATGTTGCAATGGGAACAATAAGAAGGAATGTGGAAGTGTATAATAAGTGTGTCATCAGCACCTCACCAACGGGAACTCCCCTGCCTCACAACTGTATCTTAAGTTATAAAAATGTCAACATGCTTTTTACTAATCCTAAGCCCAAAGATCTTCTCTTTCTCTATTCTCATACAAGATAACCTAAGCCCAAAGATCTTCTCTTTCTCTATTCTCATACAACATTCAACGAGCAACATGCCTATAAGTCTCCATTACGCAAGACCAAACAAGCAAAATCACATGTTCACATCTTGTCATTGTTATCGGTGTCATCGAACCAAAGCAGTCAAACATACAACTAGAAAGTGCACAAAATGATTTAATGAGACATCCATAGCCTAATTCACCATGTTATCACCAAATTAAAAGCTACACTAATTAAAGCAAATACCAAGTCTTTCGAACATCCGAATTTCAACGAGTTAATAACAACGAAATCTAATTAAACAACATCCTAATCTGAAAAGGGTCTCATCCACCACTCAAAATCTCCACAACAAAACTGAAAATTTCACTGCTTTCAAACAACAACCAACAAAAGAAAGCTACCAAGATACTAAAAAATCATGTATAACCTGAGAGAGCCGCCGGTGGAGTTAATAAAGAGCTTGATATCCTTCTTAGAATCCTGGGCATCCAACAAAAGCAGCTGGCTAATAATAGCGTCGGCCACAAAGTCATCAATGCTACTACCCAAGAAAACAATCCTCTCCCTGAGCAAAAGCCCCATGGCGTCGCCCTCGGCGCCTCTCATGGCGGTGGCCGGCGTTTGAGGGGCGGAGGAAATCAGGAGCGAGCCGTCGAGCGCCTGGGACCTGGTGGCGAAGGTGGGTTTTGGTGTTTGGAGGGAAAGGGATTTGATTGAGGGGGTTTTGGGAGAGGAAGTGGGGAAGTAGGAGGTGGGTTTGGGGCGGGAGGAGTGAGAGAGCTTGGAGGTTGGGGTGGGGAGGAACGTAGGGGATGAGATTGAGAGAACGTCCATGGCTGCTCAGTTGGGCAGTGCTCTGAGAGCAGAGAGCGAATTGGGCGTTTGGATACTTGATAGGGGAAACGAGGGCAGCTCTTACAAGACGAGCCCAATTGGATCCCTTGGATTTATTTACATTTTTTCCTTTTTATTTTTAATTCTAAGAAATAAAACTATCCTAAATTGTTTATATACGGTTTATTGTCTGTTTATTGTTTTTCAATTGTATTTTTGATACAAATGTATTAGGGAAGGGAGACGTTGAAAATGAAATATATAGATAAACGCTCTTAACCTACTTGAGCTACAGTCTACTTTCTAATTACAAAATTTTAAGGATTCTATTTTAGTATGCAAAAATTTGACCTCAAGATTTTAGTGTAATTTCCACATCTTAAAGAAAAAGGTTTAAGTAAACATATTTGATTTCCTTAAGAGAATTCGTTTGTACATATGTAAGTTATGTCAAGTCGACTAAAAGGAGCGTCCTCCCTTTCACACTCAAGTTCGAGCCTCCGCATTTAGTTAATCAAAATTCAGGGTTAGTGTAAATTGGTTTAGTAATTGGTAGTCTTTTCTTAACATTCAAACAGGTTGCTATTTTGGTAAGCTAGCTAGCTAACCAACTTGACTTGAGGATCAAAGAGCCTAATTAGAATTAGGGAAGTCACTGCGTGCAAGTGGCGGAAAGGCATTACTCTTCAACCCACTGCGTCTTGGGTTAAAACCCTTCCCCTCCCCTTAGTATAGATTAGTATCGAATATCGTTTGTATTTCGAAGTCACAATAAGATCCGGCACTTGAACTAAGCAAGGTCCTTCTATATACAAACTAAACAATGATTGTTAACCTGTTGTATATTTTCTCTTCTGTACCAATGTTAATTCAACCTAAACCACTTGACTATGAATCACAAATATGAATCTCGGGGAAACTTTACAGCCTTCGTGTGCACTTTGTTTACTGAGAAGCCAGTATTTTATCCGGCTTATGCTCGTCTGAACTTTGTACTACTTGGTCTGCGGTGCATAGCTGATACGGTTCTGCATTTTCGATTACCTTTCTCAAAGCATCAGGTCCCATGTCCTTGAGAACCTACGGTCATAATCCAAACATTAGATAAGAAGGCCGGCCAAGGATCCTAAGGAAATCAGTTCTCCAGATTGTGAAGAAAAAATAGGAAATATTATACTTTATAACGCCTACATGTTCGTCCTTGTGAAACAAAGCAAGCCGTAAAAGAACAACTGGGATTCTAGAACAACTAGTAGTCTAGTAGCATGTAAGAAAAACCAGCACTAGCAATAAGAAAAAGAGTCGAAGCATTAAACCTCATTAGCATCTTTGTAATAGCTGACTTCATCATTCTTCGGCCAGCTTACTTGCCAACATCTAACAGCCAAAGAAAGTAAAAGGAAATAATCAGACAAATATAGAACGTATATACATAAATCAAATATCTACTGAGTTGCATACATTTACACAAACTGATTTTTCAAATACAAAACACAAACTACAGAAAACTTATTTAACCTGTGTGTCCCAAGGCGGCGTGCTATATCTTTGGCCAAAGCTTGGCCTGGTTTGTCATTGTCGGTTGCCAGGATAATGCGAGAAACCTAACAGGCAAGCATTAATAAACAACAGTTGTATAGAAAAGTTTGATAGATTGGCAATGTTTTGCATACCTTATCCAAATTCTGTTTGCAATTCCACAGATACTGATATGCAGTGTCCTAATAGTATACAGAGAAGAAATAAGAAGTCACTCAACTAAATTTTTCTCAGAAGTTGATACATGTGCTGTTCATTGATAATTCCGTAACTGACCACTCAAAGTCATTCAAGGAGTTATAATCCGCAGACATTTCAAAGGTTGATATAAAACTGTATATCTAAACACAAAGATAGGCTCCAAAGAATTTCGCCCACACCTTTTCCACTGGTGGCAATTTAGTAGAACTTTTTCCCGGTGCACCATCAGGGACACTCACACAATTGCAGAAGCCAGCTTCCTCCAATGAAAGCTTGTCAATTTCACCTTCAACCTAGCAGCAGTCAGAAGTAAGATGGGGATCCAGGAGACAGAAGACGAAAACATCAGAATAAGGGGAAATTGAACCCACAATGATAATTTCAGCTGCATCATTTATGTCATCAATTCCATATAGTATTTTCTCTGACGCCTTCTCCTGAAAATCAACGACATAAAATTATTCAACATCTGACTAGAAAGCATCCACATTTCACTTAATTGCCATGCATTCTATACATTTTCTAGTAAAAGAACCCCGGGCGAATGTTAGCATGCATACCTGCCAATAACTTTTTTCTATGGTTCGATACTTGCAGGCAACAAGCAGTCCGTTGCGTTTATAAGTAAATGCAATGATATCCTGGAAATCACAGAAGTTTTAACACAGTTCCTAATCTCAGAGTCGCCTATCAAAAGTAAATTGGTAAGTCCAGCAACTGATAACTTCAGGGTACCTTATTACTGGAACGTTGCATAACACCGTTTCTGCGCAAAGTTTCCTCAGATATCATTCGCTCACAGAAGTATGCAGTTAGCTGGGATAATGAAAGAGTGTTTATTTATCCAATAAAATTACACGTCGGAAGCAGCACATTTGAACCAGACACAGTGTGTCCTGGTTCAACTTTTACATTAATAATGGACACGATAATTTTAATTATCTAGATATGAGATGCATGTCAATGAAACAAATAAAATCATAAAGTACTCTATGTTTAGGCATATGTTTATAGCCGAGAAACCATACGGTACTATATCTATGTTTCCTGACAAAAATGCATAAACCCTTCTAGTTGAACATTTTTAGCCAAATGAAGGCCTCTTCTCTTTGTGGGGAATTGTAACTCCAATGGCTAGAAACCATTTACCCCGCACCCAAGACCAGTTTGAATTCCCCTTCCCCCCATGGCCTCCTTTGTAACCGGGAAAATGCCCCTTTTCTGGCAACTCTTTCGTCATATCGTTGAGTGTCTGACATGCTAATTCCAAATAGAAGTGTCCAACAATAATGTAAGTTGAAACCATTCTTTCCATTGTATATGGATAGCAGAATACTAGATTTAGAAATAACTTCTAAATAGGAGTACATAGAATACATCAGAAGGGACAAGCAATAAAATTAAAGTTCATTCCATACTAGAAAAGATATATGCAAACATGAACACGCTGTGATCAAAGATTGGCAGATATCGGTCAATGTAAGTACCTTTTCCCCTAGTGGTTCCAACTTAAGGCTCTTCTCTGTCATTTGTCCAGAGTAGTGAACTTTCTTCTTCACCTCATTATGCGCTGCCCTGCCATCCGCAAATACCTACAACGTAACATCGAAATGATTAATGTCTCCCGAGTCCTCCCTTTTAGACTCTTCAAATGCTGGGCATGAAAAACACAATAACATAAGTTGTTTCATGTTACCTTGTCAGCCCAACTACAATTCGTTCGAAAACACCTCCACATTGCCAAATCCCTACGGTATCCAATCACCAAAGTAATTACAACCAAATTACACAACCCCACAATTCGAAATGCAAAGTGACACACATCAGAAAACTAGCAGCAGCAGCAGCATACCCCTTTTGGACAATGTGAACAGACAAACTCCTCTCCATCGTCGGTCCACCATTGCACTGTTTTAGCAAAACATGGAAAATTTGAAATACCCTTTGATATATGTAGCAAAAACACAATGATAAAAAGATTAATTACCAAAATAAACTCCTATTTCAAATTGTCAATGCTTCTGCACTGGAGCACAAATTACAATACATAAAATAACCCAAGAATATAACAATTAATGTTTCAAAAATACCTTTGGACACAGTAAATTAGTATACTTTCCAGGCACACAATAATCAGTACAGAGAATCCCAATAACCTCCATTTTCTGCTTCAAGATATCGACTTTATCCACACCCACGATCTGCTCCTCCATTTTCTCTGCAGTACCTACAAAAACAACAACAACCCAAGTCATGGAAAAGAGTAACAAGGCACCGGGAGGAGCTTTCTGATAATAATTATGCATTTGGGACAAGACCTTGGGAAGTGGGGGCATTGCTGGAATGAGAGGGAGAGCAAGACCAAACAGGGACTAAAGTGAAATTTGATGATGATAAGGGACTGTTAGGAAAGTGGTGTTTGGAGAAGACGAGTGCGGTGTGGAGACGGAGTGGACGACAAAGAAACAGAGACGGAGTCATCAGCAATCTTGGTTTCCGACCAAAAGAAAGAAGTATTTTGGTTTCTGGTCTTTGGGTTGTGGATATGTTTTTCCTTTTAAAATTTCCGTATTATACTTTTAAGAAAGAACACAAAGTGCACGAAGGTAACGAAAGGCTTGACGTCAATTGAGCTTCAAGATTTTGTTATTATTGTTGAAGATCTTGTGACCAAAAAACGAAAAATAAGGGCACATCTTTGTCATCATCATAATTATGATTAGATAAAATGATACATGATAAATGATTAGATGTATAATAATTATACATTATAGTTTAGGATGATGAGCAAAAAATGCTCTGAAAAACAATTCTTTCATAAAATAAAAAAGAGAAAAACAATTGATTTTGAAGAGGCAAAACTCAAACACATAAGTTCGAATGTACAAATTAACATTCCTAACCACTTAAACTATAACCTTGTAAAAGAAAAAAGAAAGAAAAAAAAAACCACTTAATTAAACTGGTTTTATGAATAAAATTTGAATAAGACATATTTTCAAACTTCAAATTTTACACTTGTTAAATTTGGGATCGAAGAATCATATGTCCATGTATAAAATTTTCGAAAATGAATTTTGATCTCTTAATAACTAGTCAACTTTTTTCATTGCTTCAAAATTACTGGTGAACATGAAACTCATGCTTACTCAAATCAATAAATTTCAATATTTTTTTGTGCGTATAAAAAAATCCAACTATTGATGTGATCCAGTTCTAAATGACTGAAGAATACTTTGTATATAGGATATAATAAAATCATTGATTTACCAAAATCATACCTGAATGAAACTAAATCTTGTAAAATCACATTGAATATATTTGAAGATACATTATGTACCTTGCTAAAAAACAAGGGTAGTTTACTACTAGTTATGGTGAAGTAGTTTACTTGCTCGACCATAGGAAGAGGTATCTTACTTAGTGCTTGCACTATCCATGGCTATAGAACTAGAGAAGTATTCTTTCTTGTTCTTTGGAATTAATTAACCTAAAGTTTGAAGATATCGTCAAAGTTACGAACAGAGATCACCAATTTATAAGAAACGTACAAGATTTTGTTATTGAATTTTACCTCATTGCCATGTCACACATAATAAAAAATTGTATGTAAAATGTACATATTTACCAAGTCTTAATATTGTAAAGTATAAACCCTTAAACTCTGAACTCTAGGCCCTCCTTAACCAAACATTACCACTGGATTTTAACAAACATAAAATGTCATGGATAATATTGCTTACTTATGTTTGGTCAAGGGCAGTATTACTTACCTTATAGAGAAAAAGTACTAGAAAATTAGCAATATCCCCAAAGTTTTGAGATCAGACTTTAGTCAATGTCTCTCTAAAATATAATGAACATGTAGAAAAAGAGACGGGTGTTTGTCACTATAGCACATTTCAAATTCAGCTTGAAAAACGAAAACTAACTAAACTAACTAGGCGACCACTTCAATACACAAACTTGTCGTTGTCATGTAAAATTTCTTATTTGCAATGAAAATAATATAACAGTTCTAGAATGGGATTTTCGGCATCTGCTCTTAGAAGTTGGTGTAATAAGTTAGTGTCTTTAGTGAGCTCAAAAAAAAAAAAAAAAGTTAGTGTCTTTAGTATTTATTTTTTTTTGCGGTCATTCTAGTATTTCCTTATCTCAATTAGTACAGCAACCGTATTAAACAAGTTACACAAATACAATAACTTGCAAGAATTTGAGCAATTTACCTTACTACTAAAAACCATTGTGCATTGTAACCCCCAAATTATTAACCATTTTGCAGGTACATGCAGGAGTGTCCTCGGCCTAATGGCTTATAGCTAGTAATTCCAAACACAACTCTTCATCTCTCATGATATATAACAATTTCAGAATTTTCTGCTTAATCAATATTTTTTTTTCTTCCTGCAAAACATACATTGACCTTAATGATTAACGGATAGTAATTGACAAAAAACACTAATTAACCATGGAGGTACGTTGAGAATTAATTTATGAAAGTAACTGAGACTAATTAATTAATTAATTATGTAAAGTGAATTAGTGATGAATAGCTAGCCGCCAACGAGGAGTCATGTGGAAGTGGCGGTTATACAGAACATAAAACTGAAGTTATTAAACATAGCAAACCCTAGAAATAAAAGGGTGAGTGTGTGCTAGTAAATAGGAAGATTATTAGGAGATGGTGGTTATAGTATTATCCATGATGATTGAGATCAAATCCTTTATCTGCGCCTAAAGAAACGAAACCAAAAACTGCCCACCTTCCCCCGCATCTCTCTCGATCTCTTTCCTCTTTCTTCCTCTCTTTCTTGTGGATTGGACTACTTAACTAGCATAAGTCAGCAGGTAGGCTGCTGTGTACTTGTTCAGTTAATCTGATAAGGTTTGTTAATTAGCACTAATCTTTAGGTCTAACGCAGGTCCACAGACACAAGATATCTAATTCTCTCAGGTATCTCTCTCTCTCTCTCTCTATCTCTCTCTCTCTCTCTCTCTCATGCATGTCTTAAGCTTTTCAAATCTTCTTTTAGTTTATCTTCTTTCTCTCTTTTCTCTTTCAAGGGTCTTTCGATAGCATTGCTGTCTTTAGCAATTAATCAGTTAGTAACCATAATTAACTGTTCATGCTGGTTTTGTAAGTTCCATGGCTATGAGTACTGCTACTTTTTGCCCTATTGATGATTGGGGGTCTCTTCAGCTTCTCAACCCACCAGAAATGAATATGCTTAGCTTACCAACACAACAAAAGCTGCAGGCAGCTTCTTCGGGCATCTTCGATCTGCAGGACTACTACTATAGCTTAGCTAACAGTACTAATCCAGAATACACCTGCATCGATCCATTCTTCCAACCCTACGAATCCTCCTCTGAAAACTTTCTCCTCCCTGATTTTTGTTCTCCAACAGATAACATCAATTTGGCCTTGCTGTCGCCGGAAACCTGTCCAACCCTAGATGAATATGACTTCTCCTACCAGCCCTACCCAAAATGCCAGAAGCTCTTCCATGATCAACAAGTCCAATATTGCAATTCAAACTTCGTGGTTGCCGCCACTCCCAATTATTTCAATGCATATGATCCGTTCTCCAGTCTGAAATTTTGGTTCCAACTCAAACCCATGAAGTCCAAATTCAGAATCAGCCTGAGGCCGCCAAGCTTGATAATAAGGTCGTTAGTGGTACTGGTACCGTGTCACCACAGAGCATAGCTGCACGCGAGAGGAGGAGGAAGATAACTGAGAAGACTCAGGAGCTTGGGAGGCTGATTCCTGGTGCCACCAAGATGAACACTGCTGAAATGTTGCAAGCTGCTTATAAGTATGTCAAGTTCTTGCGGGCACAAGTTTCTGTTCTCAAACTCATGACAGACTCTCCAATTCAGCAGGTAGTAATGTAATAGAGCAAACTATTTCATCTGTTTATAATTAAAATGGTTTAATTTGCAACCAATTTCGAATCCCCTTCAATCCCGTTGTAGTTTAGACGAATTTAATTAGGGTAGAATATATTTTTTTTCTTTTATTTATTTGATGAAATAATGTATTCATTTTAATTTAAAATTGTACGTTTAAGCAGGAAAGGAAGGAAGAGCGATTGTATATAAATCAAGAGCGTCTCCAGGTTGCTGCATCCCCAATTATTCAAGAGAAGCTCTACTCTGAAGAGAAGTGCTTGGTTTTGAAGGAGTTTGTTGAAGTGCTGGCAAAAGATGATGACATCCAATCCAAACCCTTTCTCAAAGACAAAGTTGCTCAGTTGCTGCAAACCAACGGCTGACAATCACAAGAGTCGTAGCTAGCCCTTGATTTGGTTCTTAATTTGTTGTTGTTGCTTTTACTGTATTAATTAATTCCTAGTTAGTTGACATGTTTTAGAGTGCTAATCTAACCAATTTCTTGTAAATTTCTAATTTTCAAGAAACATATTGGCGTCATGTAAGATTTTCTGGTGATTATTGTGTAACTCACCTCATCAACCTTTTAATAAATTCTTTTTATTACAATTAATTTTATTTTTTATATAAAACTACTACATAGTACATACTATAAGGTTAAAAAAATTGAATTGATGCTTTATAGAAGGGTGATAGAATAACGTCATGGGATCTTCAAACCTAGACCCTAAATTGCAGAATGGTATCATTGCTTCAAACCTAAGCGCATAATAGTTACTGCTCAAAATTGCCAAGACGTATAACTAATCCTAAAACAAATAGGAGTTAATATGATTCGCCCCTGCGCCAAGGGAGTGGCACATGTAAAGCCAGTTGTAAGAGATACGCACTGCAAAATGATTTAGTTTTGTGTGGCTCAGGCAGTGATTATCAACGCGAATACTACATTTGCAATCCCTACACGTACGAAGCAACGGGTTACTCTTCCTGATGCCGCTTCATGTGATCATAGCGTACTAGCAGTGGGATTATATGTGATTCCTGCAGGGGGAAGATGCTAATGCCGAGAATAGCTATAGGGTTGCGAAAATTTCGAACTATTCACATCCTTGGCATGCCTCCATGTACAATGTGGATATCTTCTCTTCCAAGACTGGTGAATGGCGGGTTTCATCTATAACAGCTCCGTATACACTCCTTTTCCACATGCTCCCTGGGAATATTGTTCGATTGGCATACAATGGGATGCTGTTTTTGATGGGTACTGTTATAACAAGAGTGCTAAATCTACTGATGATGGCATTACTGATATACAATGTCTTGTTGTATCTGATGATGCGGAGCTGGGAATTAGGCTTGTGTGTGTGTGCCAAGGATGTCTGCAACTGTGCAACTACGATGAATATTATTCACTTGTTCCGTCTGTTTGGGGTTTGAAATTAGATGTAGAGTGTTTAATCTTGAAACACAGGGTTCTCATGGACCCAAATATACTTTTGGGCAATCAATGGGCCCGGCACTCCCCAGTTGTTAAACTGCTCGCTTTGGATCCAAATAACAACATTCGTACAAGTGAGCGGTCGAAGATAGCTGAAAATTGTTCGAAAAGAGGTCCTTTCTTACCATTGATTTCAAACCCTTGGTGGCCAACTCCAGTCCCTAGACTATGCAGCGCAGCAGATTCCAAATCAACTTCATGATAAAGTTTGTTTGTTTTGGTGTTTTGGTTGATTGTTTGGATTAGTTTCTTAGGTCAGAATGTTAGAGAATGGAGAGAACTTGGATATGTGATTGACGGCTTACAAGGCTGTGCTAGATGCAGCAGCAATAGTTTCATTAAGTAGGTGAATGTTTGTAGGTATGGTGCATTGCCATGACCCATACTTCTTCAAGAGAGTGATTGACAAGAGACTTAAACAACCATTTCATCCTTACTACTCCAGGTTAAATCCTAGCGCTTCATTTGGGTTTTAAATGATCTAATTTGGAGTGTATACTTGTCACTCACACACTCACACATACATTTAAACCAAAAAACTTGCCATTGAGAGACTAAAACCCCTTCATTTCTTCTTTCTTCTTTCTTATTCAATGCAGACAGCAGCCATGCTTGGGAGCTCCTTGCTACCTTCAATCCCTCGACTCCAAAAGTTGTTTAGCTACCAATACTTTAGAAGCGGTAATTTCTCATTCTAGTTCGACAAATGGCAATCGAAGGCAGAAACCTATAAAATTTGTGTTTTCAATGTTTTAGTATCACATTCAAGGGTGTATGTACACATGCGAATAATACCAGCGAATTGTGTTGGATTTTCTGTACTTAGGGTTTTTTTTAATGTCACCGCAAGCCTTCAAAATCTCAAGACCGGCCTTAGAAATAATTGAATAGATATTTTTCTCCGGACTGGAAATATGGAATAGATTACAGAGTATATAAGTACTTTTTGCCAACAATAAAACTGCTCGATCGTTATAGTCCGAGTGCATGTAACCACCAAGATTAGCTTTCAACGTGATAAAATGGACTCCCCCACTTTCTTTCTTGCCAACCGTTTGAACTCAGTTTAAAATTAAACCCTCTCAAGAGATTCACACACGCAAACTTCTCCATGGCTTCCATTTCTGCAACTTCCCTCCTCCTCCTCGTCCTCCTCCCAATTTCAGCCTCCATATACACAACTCTCGCTGCGTCTGTCATAGAAGACCTCAAAATTTAAAACCGCCTCATGATTTCAACTCCACGATAATGAAAAACTGCCATCACAACCCATCTCTCAGATACTGCGGTTCCTCACCTGTGGACCTTGATGAGATTTTCAAGTCCACCATCGTCGCAAGCCATCTCTGCAACGAGTCCAAGAATCCAAACTGCGTCGAATCATTCCCTAAAATAGACCTTCAAAACCGCCCAAAGATCGCGCCGCTCTACTTGTCATTCAACTTCTTTTGGAAGTATTGCCCTTTGAGCATCTTAACTATTGATGTGTCCAACAATTCCTTGGAGAGCAATTTCCCTATTGATGTTCTTCAATGCACCCAACTCCAAGCTCTTGATATGAGCCATAATGACCTTTACGGCGATGTCCCAATAGAGAGCTTCTCTCCCCTTGCCAACCTCACTTCTCTTAATTTATCATATAATCACTTCTCCGAGAGTAAAATCTCTGATGCCCTCTTCCTTAAACGGTTCAATTCTTCGAGTTTTCTCCATTCGGGTCTCCTCCCCCATAAGAAAAAGTTCAGGATCAAGGCTGTAATCTTGTTGGTTGGTTTTCCGATCTTTGTGATCCTGATGGTGTGTTGGGTGGGGTGGCTTTGTTTCCAGAGGCCTGATTTTCTCCCAAATGCTTCGCAGAAAGTATTGGTTTACACCAGCAATGCTCAAGGCAGCAACAAATGGATTTTCGAGAAGAAATTTGAAAGGCAAGAGTGAAGCAGTTGATATCTATAGAGGAACTCTGAGAGGTGACACTGAAGTCAGGATTGAGATTTACGGAAGTGAAAACCACCCAAACTTGATCGAAGAGTGCAAGGTTCTCGTTTAGTTACGTCACAAGAACTTGATTAGTGTATTGGGTTGGTGCAAGAACAGAAGGTTGAGAGCCATCGTGACCGAATGGACGGAAGGAGAGTGCCTTGAGATGTGGTTATTGGAGTCAAACAGTACACCATGGAATCACAGGCTGAAGATATTGATGGGGGTTGTGGAAAGCATGTGTTATCTGCAGGAGGAATGGCCTGAAGTTGGATATGATCTCAGGACAAGCAGTATCTTGCTGTCACACAATGTGGAGCCACGAATTTCGAGGTTTAAGATCGGGGATCAAAGCAGCAGAAGTAGAAGTAAGTCGATCCATGAAGCTGCATCATTTCGATCCGTTTTTTTTTTTTTTACCTCTTAATTTGGTTAACTTCTAATGCAAAAACTTGAAATTTGGTTCAGAGATGTACAAGTTAGGAGTGCTTCTACTAGAGATGCTCGTAAACAGGCGGCCGCAGGAAGACTTCGAGACAGGCGAGGCTGGGTTTCTCGAGTACATCAGAATGCATTATCCTGGAAATTTGCAGAAGGTGATAGACCAGAAATTGGAACTGACACAAAATACTTTTGATCTGTTGGTATTCACAAGAGTTTACTAACTCAATACCAAAATATGTGGGTGATAAGTTTACAAACTCTATCACACCTCTCACTTCCACTCTCAATAAAATTGGACAAAGAAATAGAGAAAGGAGGGAAGCAACAAGCTTTGGTAAAACACTTGGACTTTGATATATGAAAGAAGTAGCAAGCTTGGTGATAACAAACACTTTGAAATATTAGAAGAGTTTACAACTCTTAAAGCTTACAAGCTGAAAATGAGAATGGAAATGGGATTTGGATGATATTATCTAAGGCTTAGCAAGATGGCCTATTTATACAAAAACAGAAAAAATAAACAATCCAACAATACATATAATGAATGATGGTGTTCCACATCTTTACACCCTTTCAAACACATGCAGCAACTTTGATAGTTGGCATACACATGCATTGCATCATGGCAGGTTGTAATACCTTCCTTTCGGCTAACACATGGAGAAACACTGCTGTCTTCCTGCTAGCACATCACATGGCAGCACACTTGCTGTCTTTCATCACCATTTCAGCTAGTACATGGAGGAAACTTTAGACTTTGTAGTTGCAGCATGTGTGGATACAACCTGTAAAGAAACTAACAACTAGCAGCAACCTTTTACAACCTGTTTTTATTTGAATTTCCAACATGATCAAGCTAAACAGGCAATAGGGCTAGGGCTAATGTGCACAGATCTATCCAGCAACCAACAACTAAGCTTGGTTCAAGTGTTTGATATCATGAGTAGAGCCTACCAGTCTTGCAGGGTTTTAGCATCTCATACTCGCGAAAGAATACATGCCGAAAGAGGTAGAGGCCACAAGCGCATGCAATCGAGATGAACCTTTAAATTCATCCAACTTCGGAAATTCAATTCTATGCAAAACTATTTTATGTTCCTGTGTGTTCCATTCGAAATACTTTAAATTTCCATGTGAATTGTAAAGTTCCAGTACGGTATAAGAGATCGATGTCCTTATTTGGTTTCATAACCCGTTCCTCTTTCAACAGCTTCTATTTCTACACAAAATATTGTATTTTGCGTTGCAACGGACAGCAGACAACATCAGAGTAGAAAATGTAACCAATAAATACGCATCATCAAGACCATCAAAGAACAGAACTTGCAGGTGAATACAAGCTGGTTCTTGTACATTACTTAGGGGTAGCCCATTACAGGAAGTCAGGACCAAAATGTAATGTCAAAAAGTAGTGTGTGTGTGTGTGTGTGTAAGTTCAAGCTGGGATTGCTTACTTGATGACTC